TCCTGCGACTGTTAGTGAGCTGGCGTCAGTCTGAGTTAAGTGGTTTGTCCGTGGTGCTCTGTTGTGTGCGTTCCTGTTTCAACCCTTTGGCGATTAGTGAGATGGCCGACCAGAAGGAACAAAGAGTGTGCTTGAAATTGATGACGATCGTCGAAAGACCACTGACCAACTTTCTGAGGGAACGAACATCTCATGGAGCACGGTCCAGTGAATTTTAACCGAAGGTTTGCACATGAGACGGGTGTCTGCAAAATTTGTTCCTCGCTTGCTCGGAGATGACCAAAGAAAAAACCGCGTGAATGTTTGCCGCGACTTGAAGAGTGAAGTGCAGTTTTCCCTAACAGAAAGCAAAGGGTTGAAACAGGAATGCACACAACAGAGCACCACAGACAAACCACTTAACTCAGACTGATGCCAGCTTACTAACAGTCGCAGGAGACCCCCAGCTAACACCACCTAGCAGCACAACTCGTAACTACAAAGCATGCGCGCGCAACAGGTCGTTTCCGGTTATTTTTGTGTCCCCCCTCGTATACATATATAATCTTAATTTTGGATGTGAAACATTTGGACAAAAAGACACCAGATCTCTAACATGCATTAATTTTATCCACTTCATACAAGGAATATATTAATACTATGTTTAATTGATTAGATTACTAGTCTGTCTACTCTTCTTGCAATGATACCTGAGAAGATAAAAGTGTTAGAAAAACAAGTTATGAATGCAAAGAATTAATTTCATACACATGAATATGATAGTGGCTCTGAATTACCCTATTTTTTCCCATTTTCTCGTGGACAGGTGAAACATCCATAGATCTCTATAATGGTAGAACTGTGATTCTGTTGGACTTGCATATTCTCCTCCGAACACCCATAACTGGCCTCTGTCAGTGGATACTGCAACTGTCTGATGGCTACATCTCGGAGGGGGCCCACCGGGGGCCTTCACTCGAACCCATTCATTCCGAGGGATGTTATAGATATATAAGTCATTATATAAAAAGGTCTGTAATCATTCCAAAGTTATAATTATTGTCCTGCACAGTGATATCAACATCTAATCTTCCATAAGAAGCTCAAGCTCAGACCAACAGATATGGTACAGACACTGGAACAAAGTACAGCTGTCTCCTAGAACTCCATCACTTTCATAGGTACTACAGTTCCTATATACCCAACAGTAAAATGCATGAAATCCTAATTTCATTATAAGGAAAGAGGAGGCTGAGAACTGAAGCACTGAGACAAATATTTGGAGCTAGGAAGAAAGAAAGCACTAGAGAAAATTACAGAATGAGTACTTTATATATACGAGGGTGAGTCAAATGAAAACCTTAAATTTGTAATAAAAAATCGAAATTTCACGCCATTATCCTGTAAGTTGGTAAGCTTGCTACAAACAGCGTGCAGAATGGCCTATAGGTTGCAGCATAGTGCAGATGCACAAACACCGTCACAGCACCAGTATGAGATGGCTGCCCCACTTGACACTTGCACCAGGGAAGAACAGCGTTCTGTTATTCGGTTCTTGTGTAGTAAAGGTGTGAAACCTCTGTGCACCTTTATTCTGATGCATGCCACATGCCCTACCTATAACAGCATCCCATCACAACATTAGGCAGAGTGTACAAATTACGTAGGCGAGTCAAATGAAAACATTAAATATTTTTTTGAGTATTCTTTATTGTGCACAAGTGGTACAAAGCTGTATCACTTTTCAACATAATCTCCCCCATGCTCAATGCAAGTCCTCTAGCACTTGCAAAGTGCATGAATTCCTTTAGAAAAAAAATTCTTTTGGTAGTCCATGCAACCACTCATGCACCGCGTGGCGTACCTCTTCATCAGAACGGAACGTCTTTCCTCCCATTGCTCCTTTGAGTGGTCCAAACATATGGAAATCACTTGGGGCAAGGTCTGGCGAGTATGTCGGATGAGGAAGACACTCAAAATGCAAGTCACTGATTGTCGCAACTATTGTACAGGCAGTATGGGCCTTGCATTGTCATCTTGCAAAAGGATACCTGTGGACGGCAATCCACGTCGCTTTGATTTGATTGCAGGCCGAAGATGATATTTTAGGAGATCTGAGTATGATGCACTGGTGACAGTGGTCCCTCTAGGCATGTAGTGCTCCAAGATGATGCCTTTTTCATCCCAAAAGAGAGTCAGCATAACCTTCCCTGCTGATGGTTGTGTTCAAAACTTCTTCAGTTTTGGAGATGAGGAATGGCGCCATTCCTTGCTCGCTCTCTTCGTTTCCTGTTGGTGGAAATGAACCCAGGTTTCGTCCCCAGTAACGATTCTTGCAAGGAAGTCATCACCTTCTCATTCAAAGCGCCGACGTTCTTCACGAGCATCAATACGTCGGTCTTTCAATTCAGGAGTCAGCTGCCGTGGCACCCATCTTGCAGACACTTTGTGAAACTGGAGCACATCATGCACAATGTGGTGTGCTGAACCATGACTAATGTTTAAACTACCAGTAGAGGGGCCAAACTCGCTGGCTGAACGGGGCTGATAGCAAGCACCAGTACCGGAAGGGTATGGCGACTGGTAGAATATCAAAGGGAGGCGTACAATAGATCAACAGCTGGTCGCGGTGCATGGGGAAACCCACCCCATCCAATAATGAATGAATGAATGAATGTTTAAACCTGCTGCAGTTTCATTCAGTTTCACTCGGTGGTTTTTCCTCACTATGGCTTCAACTGCTGCAGTGTTCTCTGGAGTCACAACTCGATGTGCCTGACCCAGATGAGGAGCATATTCAACTGAAGTCTCACCATTTGCAAACTTCCTATTCCATTCATACACTTGCTGCTGTGACAAACAAGCCTCACCATATTGAAATTTATCGAAGAATGAAGTTTCAGTATGGTGAGGCTTGTTTGTCACAGCAGCAAGTGTACGAATGGAATAGGAAGTTTGCAAATGGTGAGACTTCAGTTGAATATGCTCCTCATCTGGGTCAGGCACATCGAGTTGTGACTCCAGAGAACACTGCAGCAGTTGAAGCCATAGTGAGGAAAAACCACCGAGTGAAACTGAATGAAACTGCAGCAGGTTTAAACATTCATTCATTCATTCATTATTGGATGGGGTGGGTTTCCCCATGCACCGCGACCAGCTGTTGATCTATTGTACGCCTCCCTTTGATATTCTACCAGTCGCCATACCCTTCCGGTACTGGTGCTTGCTATCAGCCCCGTTCAGCCAGCGAGTTTGGCCCCTCTACTGGTAGTTTAAACATTAGTCATGGTTCAGCACACCACATTGTGCATGATGTGCTCCAGTTTCACAAAGTGTCTGCAAGATGGGTGCCACGGCAGCTGACTCCTGAATTGAAAGACCGACGTATTGATGCTCGTGAAGAACGTCGGCGCTTTGAATGAGAAGGTGATGACTTCCTTGCAAGAATCGTTACTGGGGACGAAACCTGGGTTCATTTCCACCAACAGGAAACGAAGAGAGCGAGCAAGGAATGGCGCCATTCCTCATCTCCAAAACTGAAGAAGTTTTGAACACAACCATCAGCAGGGAAGGTTATGCTGACTCTCTTTTGGGATGAAAAAGGCATCATCTTGGAGCACTACATGCCTAGAGGGACCACTGTCACCAGTGCATCATACTCAGATCTCCTAAAATATCATCTTCGGCCTGCAATCAAATCAAAGCGACGTGGATTGCCGTCCACAGGTATCCTTTTGCAAGATGACAATGCAAGGCCCATACTGCCTGTACAATAGTTGCGACAATCAGTGACTTGCATTTTGAGTGTCTTCCTCATCCGACATACTCGCCAGACCTTGCCCCAAGTGATTTCCATATGTTTGGACCACTCAAAGGAGCAATGGGAGGAAAGACGTTCCGTTCTGATGAAGAGGTACGCCACGCGGTGCATGAGTGGTTGCATGGACTACCAAAAGAATTTTTTTTCTAAAGGAATTCATGCACTTTGCAAGTGCTAGAGGACTTGCATTGAGCATGGGGGAGATTATGTTGAAAAGTGATACAGCTTTGTACCACTTGTGCACAATAAAGAATACTCAAAAAAATATTTAATGTTTTCATTTGACTCGCCTACGTAATTTGTACACTCTGCCTAATGTTGTGATGGGATGCTGTTATAGGTAGGGCATGTGGCATGCATCAGAATAAAGGTGCACAGAGGTTTCAGTGGAAAAGTTCAAGGGAACTGGCCTCTTGGAACACTGTACATGAGGAAATAATATTAAAACAGAGCAGAAGGAAATAGGATATGAAGGTATGACTACATGTTTGAGTCCTATGGTGGGTTTTTGAGAACGGTGGACCTATAGGCTCCATAAAAGCAGACAATGCATCATTATCCTATAACCTTCCTATATTTAATTATACAATAAATGCTTGAATAATTTAGCAATAAAATGCACTTCATCAACTCAAAATAGGAAATAACTATAACATCCTCTTCTGATGGACTTTGATGGCTTAGTAAATGGACTGATGTGGCAGGACTGTTCAGGTGGAGCAGTTTCATAAGTCTTATACTAATGCACCTTTTGTCCATTGAAATATTCTCCCCCAAAAAGAATCAACTCTTCTTTATCTGGATGTGCTGTTAAAGTAAAACTGGATCGCCTTGAAGGTGGAGAGACAACAGTTTCTATCACTTCTTGTCGTTTCTTCTCTTCAAGCTCTATTTGTGCTACAATTTCTTCTATGTCATCCTGGAAACAAAGATGCAGATTAGAACTAGGTTGTTTCTGCTGTTCTGTAAAGAATTCAGACAGCAGAGTTCAAGAGCAAATTATAAGTGCAAAATTTTCATGTATTATAGATTTGAAATAAACAGTTTAAAAGTATAAATACACACTCCGTCCAATGTGACATGTAAGTTTTTACTACATTAAAACTTATCTCCCTAACATGTTTCTGTCCTTACGGGCCATCTTCAGAGGGAAGATCATTACAAACTGGAAACTACTATCACAATAGGTGTTTTGATTTAAAATACATACACTTATATCCTATAGTGCACAGTATGCACAAAGTCGAATGTTTTACAATCACAGCAGCTTCCTGGTGTTGTAAAGTTTTTAAAAGTTTCTAGATGTTATTTAAAAAACCTTTATTGTCAATAGTTAAAATTTTTTAAACCACGTGGGTTTGTGTCCATACTCCTATCGTCCTTGTATGGGGAAGATTTTTTGCCACCTGTCTATCTTGATGAGGAGGTTCTTGATGTCGTCCAGATAGACAGGCGGCACAAAATCTGCCCCATACAAGGACGATAGGAGTATGGACACGAACCCACGTGGTTTAAAAAATTTTAACTATTGACAATAAAGGTTTTTTAAATAACATCTAGAAACTTTTAAAAACTTTACAACACCAGGAAGCTGCTGTGATTGTGAAACGTTTGACTTTATGCATACTGTGCACTATAGGATATAAGTGTATGTATTTTAAGTCAAAACACCTATTGTGATAGTAGTTTCCAGTTTGTAATGATCATCCCTCTGAAGATGGCCCGTAAGGACCGAAACATGTAAGGGAGATAAGTTTTAACGTAGTAAAAACTTACATATCACATTGGATGGAGTGGTTTGTATTTATAATTATTAGTGCGACGGATCAGAATGAAACAAATCAAGTTTAAAAGTATGTAAGTCTGACTGTGAGGGAAATTTAAATCCTTTGTCCAGAGGGAAGACAGGATCTTATGATGACCAGAATAATGCTGGAAACACCAGAAACATCTTATGATTCAGAGGAACAGACCTTAATGATCTAGCCCTACAAAGTTCATGATGATGCCTACTAGAATCACTTCACACTTTACTGGAGAATTTTTCTGGTGTCTTAAGATAAAATATAAGTTGAGTACTGTCTTGTGTGATGTGAGCAGTAGAGTTTCGAAGGAGAATCCTGCTTGCATCTCCATGGATATAGAGTAAAGCAAGCAAGCATAGCTTATCTAAATAAGTAGGCCTACTGTATGACAAAGTATGATGTTTATAACTGCAACAATGTCCATGAACATGTAGCACACCTGAATCATAATTCACATACCTCATTTGAGAAATATACACGTATTAGCTTTTGATACATTAATTAGATTAAAACCAAATGTCATGATTGAGCGAGCAGCATTCCTGCTTCATGTGTGTGTGTGTGTGTGGGGGGGGGAGATCTTGGATTTGATTCCTGACAGAGACTGGCTAACCTAGGCTTCTGTGTTTTACTCAGTCCTTACAAACAAATGCTAGGACAGCATCTTAAAATAAAGCCATTAACTTTTTATCCTATCCTACTGAATTAGTAATTCACAAATCACCCTTTCAGATGAAGCTGCACATCTCAGACGAAAGACAAACTGTTACTATATACACCTAAAGTAATAACAAACACCTATATATAAAATTGAAATAAATAATGTTTTAAATTTGATAGTGCAGTAGGTATAGCAACTGGCTATGGGCTGGACTACCGAGGGGTTGGGGTTCGAGACCTATTAGGGTCGAGTATTTTCTCTCCACCACGTCGTCCAGACCAGCTCTTCAGGCCCATCCAACGGGTACCAGGGGCTCTTTCGATGGGCGTAAAGCGGCCGGGGCGTGAAGCTGACCACTCACTTCGAACTGGTACCAAGGCAAAGAAAATGTGAATTTATACATCACTCCCCGATACGCTTTCATGGCGTAGCACTTAATTAGCTAAGCACACGGACAATTTTTTTAATGTTTTAGTTAAAAGTTGTAATATACCTCTCCACTTGCAGCAAGTCTTTTCTTCTGTTTTTGTGAGAGTTTCTTATCGGTTTTTGCTGCTGTCTTCTCAGCTCCTTTCCCTTTATTTTTACGTTTATCTTTTTTCCCCATTTTAAAGATAATTTCTATACGTAACCACCAAATGTATACACGCTTTAAACATTTACACGGAAATACATGCGTACCAACAGCACTTTCGCTCCGACTGGTTTCTGTGCTTTTGAGCGATACGCTGTGTAAATTCGTGTTGTCACTTGTACGTGGATCGAATGATAAGTGCGAATCAATGTTCAAACCGTTCAAACTAATCCTGCTTTATTAAGACTAACTTTTGATACACAAAGGCGTTTTATATATATATTCACACAGATGACCATGGTAACACATAACAATAGAGACATTCTATTTTTACACACATAACCATAGCAACACATAACACAACTCAAAACAGGAACAGCTCATGTAGCGCAGCCTATTATTGAAATTGTTTACTACGACCACTACGACTTTGCCAACTCCAGCATTATATTTTAACATTAGAGAATTGCCAACATAACAAGTACTTCGTAATAAAAAAAAAGAAGAGCATCGTTTACATAATAATTTAACTATTCAACGGTAGATGGTGACAGCAATTACGCGATACTTGCTGCCATCTACTGCAGAGTGTAGAACGTATTTGAGGGGATATTGTACATATTTAACGTGTTTCGGGACAAATTTGCATGAGCACTGAGCGCGAGAGAAGAAAAAAAAAGAAACGTGATTTGCATAACTTTTGGCAAGTTCCTGCGTGTGCTTTAATTTGTTGAATGACGCTGAAAGAACTGCCGAATAGTTGGATGATGCGAGTGTAATAAAGAAGTTAATTCTGCAAAAGTGAAAAGAATCGCCACTGTACCTACTCGTAGTTGTGTTTCTTCAGTACCCGTTGCATACCTACGAATAACTTTCTTATCGTAAGTATGAATATTCATCGTCATTTTATTGTGTGTTTTACGTACGCATGCTAATGTCAATTACTTACTAGCAGACAATGCAGAAAAGCTTGAAATTTTCAGAGAACGTGTGAACAATACAAGTATTGATATATTGGGTTTCTGGACTTTATACACCATCGTCAGAATCCTATAGTAAATACAAGTATGTTGCACTAAACTGCTTATCTTAGTTCCTAAACACATGACTTTCAGGCATGGCTTTATTCCGTTAAATTGTGTCAAGTACGTGTACATCAGGCAGTAATAGAGTAAAGAACTTCCATTGAAAACTAAAGAGATTTCTAACAAAATAGGATTGAAGGAGTACGTACGTCTAAGTACTTGCATACTCGTACATAATACACACATGCTTGAATTATGTCACTTTTTTTTGTGCCAAAAAAAAAACAGCATTAATGGGAAACATAAATATCTCTTGATTACATTCCCTATAGGGGAAAGATAATTTTGAAATCTACACAGTATCCAGAGTGTCTTTGGGGACCACCCAGCCTCCTAACCTACCCGTGCTTCTTTCCCCGTATGTTAACAGTGTTAGTGCAGAGAGGTGCAGAGGTTAAGAATTCCTATACATATTCATAGCCTGATTCTAAATTAAAGGCAGGGACTTGACCTACAACTTGAGTAAAAGTTCTGCTGGTGTAGTGTAAACTCTGGTTACCAAAGTAATTTAATTCCTTCAGAACTGTGGTACAGGATTGTGTACATGAAAGTTTTATTTTTTTCTCAATACTTTGAGCAAGTAAGCTCCATGAGTCCCACCGCTACGGCCCGGGTTAAATCCCGGGTCTGGTCAAGTGGGATTTGTGGTGGATAAAGTGGCGCTGGGGCAGTTTTTCTCCGAGTACTTCGTTTTCCCCTGCCAATCTTCATTCCACCAATTGCTCCACAATCATCTTCACTTATCATCTTGGGCTGGTAGAATAGGCCAGAAATGGCCGTAGTCCAACACCAATAGCGATAAAAAAAAAAGCACCATGAGACTCTCTGCAACGAAAGCGTGCACAGGCTACCATTATACTGCTCTCTGGTGGGAGATACGTTAACTTCTAGCTAGGAAGACGTCATGGTATTCAGTTTGATAACGTTTTGATGTTCACATTATTTCCGGGAGTGTCGGTATAATTCGCTTGCGGACTAAAACCACGGAGTTTGTTTTTGTTATTGTGAGTTAGTTAGACATTCCTAGTTACAATACGAAGTTCTGAACTTCCGACACTAGTACAGTGCTCACTGTCTCATCTAGCGTCTCGCAGAATATAGCATAATTATCTGTGTATATGTAATTATTCACAGCCAAAACCTTTGACACGAAATCTTGGATTCCTATAAAAAGATTTCCTAGAAAACGTTTCCGAATGATGATTCGCGAAGACCGAGGTATATTGTTTACACCTTCAGGCTTTTGGTTAGATAGAGGTAGCGTAGCTGGTTGGGGCACTGTGATACAAGCCGGAAGGTCTCGGGTTCGAGTCCTGATGAGGTTTTTTTTTCAATTTACCTAATCCTTCCAGCCGCACTATGGCCCTGGGATCGACTCTGCCTCTAAAGGAAATGAGTACCAGGAATCTTCCTGGGGGTTAAAAGGCGGCCGGCACGTAACGCTGACAACCTGAGCCAATTCTATAGATAAAATGTGGGAGCCTCGACGTCTCACAACCCTATGGGCCTGCACGGCCTGTTACAAGTATAGCTTTACCTTCACCTTAACTGTGACAATAGTTGTAACCACTGGGAACGGTAAAGATGAATCACTCTCTCACCCTTTTTAATTAATTGTGAGGAGATTAACGTCACACATTATTAACGTTGGTACTGCATGGGGGTGTGTGGTCAGCTTCAAGCTCCAACCTCTCTTTCCAGGAAAGGAGTTTCCTACATTTGTTGGGTTAAGAGGCTGGGTGGATCTCAGATCCGATCTCAACTCTGTGGCGAAGGGAGGAATTCATATCCCGTCCTCCAGTCCATAGCCAGCAACTTTACTGAACTATCCTGGCTGTCAGTACTGAAAATATGTTTGTTTAAGATTTTATATATTGTTACAGTATACAGTACAGCAAGAAACAAGCAGTAACTCTTCCTGCTGTTCGTTGGTTACTTGGCTTAGCCTTAGACCTTGAAGATGGAGATAGCACGTCCCTCCGAAACGTCGATAAACTTTAACAAGATTGCACGGCGTCACATCCCCATATTCTCCACACTTTCCGCCATTAGAACCTCAATTCCAACATGTCCATTCCCTTGCCCCCAGGAGCTCGCATGTTTGCAAAGAACTTGGTGATGACGAGAGAATCACAGGTCTGGTACGAATCAAACGTCCTGAACAAACTAAATGCATTTGCCACCCTTTCCTGTCAAGATGCTGTTTGATGTCTTAGTCTGTTGAGAGTGGCGCGCAGGCCCAGAAAGCGCAGTTGAGCGGAGTTTAAAGCAACCATAACTGGAAGCTTGCTGCATAGTTAACGTGATCGAAACTTATTAGAAATTTTTGTGTAACCGTTTTCATGCGTTTTTGTTGTAAACAAACTTTCTCATGGGTCAGTATAATATGTAGTGTGCTCGTAACATAGCTGCATATAGTTATCTTTAACTAGGCCGCTCCATAGCTCAAGCGGTTAGTCGCTGGTTTCCCACCGTGGCGGTCCGGGTTCGAGCCCGTGTCTGGTGAAATGGGATTTGTGGTGGACAAAGTGGCGCTGGGGCAGGTTTTCTCCGAGTACTTCAGTTTCCCCTGCCAGTCTTCATTCTACCAAATTCTCCATTATCATACTCACCCGGGGCAAGTACAATAGGCAAATTAGTGGCCGGCGTGCCGAGTGGGCCGAGCTGGACTCCACCCCTCACTATCCGAGGTTAAGAATTTAAGAATTAGCTTTAACTATTAAAAGATAGGCCTGCATGTTCTATATTTATCATCTCAATTATCAAATCAATCGAGCCAATAAGACGCAGTGGTTCTAAACGAGATATCCTTTGAGTAGTAGTGGAAGGGTTAATGTTTTTTTATTTCTAAAAAAGTTTTCACAGAGCTCTAATTCTGGTGTTTAGAAAAACTAGGTTCATTTAAGAAACTTTGACATTACTACTGTAATGAATAGGGAAAAGAGGCGGTATATGGTTCGGTGTGACGCAGTGCAGTCAGAGAGTAGCCTAAAAACAAATCAAATCAAATGGACGCCATGTCGCTATCTGCAATTTAGAGTGAGTTCAATATTACTGTTTTTTTTTTTAAGACCTGCACAGAGGATGGGGAGGCACAAAGAGCAGAGTACATGTGACTGCTGACGTCCTTTCGTTAGGAAGCCCCTGCTTCCTGATCTGTAATTCCCTTTCTCCCGATGTTCATCAGTTCTTTCCTCGTCTCCACCACTTCAATCGGCTTTGTTTTCCCGAGCGACGCCTAGTAATCGAAAACACAAATTTGCTTTTACAAACAAGTTCGCGTGTGTGTGTATGCTTTTTCTGTTTTGGGGAAAGACAACCATCGCGCTTGCTCATTCAAAGGGACACGTCTTTTATATGCACTCGGTCGCTGCGAGCGTGTGTGTGCGTGCGTGTTTTTTTTTAGTGAGGGGGGCAGAAAAAAGCAGGGGAAAATTCGAAATGTAGACGAAACCTTTTACGCGCAAAGTACAAAGCAATTTTGTTATTCAGAATTTGACAACTTTGTTTCCCTTTTTTCGTGGTTCAGATCCCATGACAAGTTACTGGAGAAAGTGCCCTTAACGATTTATATGACCAGGGCTTGATCAATTACTGGGGGAAGGGAGTAGGTTCCACGGCTCGTGAAAGTAAGCTCTATGATATAATTTGTAAAACTAAACACCACTACAATTTCTAGAAATAATCACCATTTGTATAATTTCTTGGAATGTAATAAATTGAAATAATTATTACTAGCAAACTACTGTCGATGATAAATGGGTATATAGTTAGACTGATAGATAAATAGGATAGATAGATAGATAGATAGATAGATAGACAGACAGATAGACAGATAGATAGATGGAGATAGATAGATGGATGGATGGATAGATAGATAGATAGATAGATAGATAGATAGATAGATAGACAGACGGACGGACGGACGGGTGGATGGAGTGTGTGAGAGAGAATCACTTGCAATTCCTTCTCAGTTTGTCTCTCGTACCATCTCTGTAATGAAGGGTGATTATCAGTGAGGAATGGGGAAGATGTGGAGGACAGGGGACACATTGTAAGCTTTTGCCTGGAGGGTATGCGGAGAGAAACCAAGAAATCCTCAGGATAACAGCCTACCAGTTCTCCATTTGAATCAGATGCATGTAAATTTGTATGTAAGCCAACTGTGTACTCATCATTCTTCATATTTCGTTGGATTGTATTTCAATAACTTCTGTTACAGAAAATGAACCTTCCCTGTGAAATGTCAACCACCACCAGCAGCAGCAGCGGAAATCAGTATAGCACTGTCGTGTTTCAGTATCAACTCATCAGAATTAGCA